CCTTGGAAAATGACTTCTGGACCTGCATTGGGCTAAAGGCCTCTAAAGGGCCTTTGGGAAATGCTTCAAAGTTCTCCAAACAAATTTGTCAAATGTCATTTGCATTAGCCCAAAACCTAAAGTCCCTTACAAATGTCGAACCAAAGGCATCGGTAATATTGCGACGGATGCATTCGGGTCATGATTGTGCGAGATACGAAGTGAACATGTGGGCCAATGGGAAATGGCAGGAGGAGGGACACCTAAGACTGGCCCTGCACCGCCAGGAGAATGGGAGGGAGACTGAACTTATGGGGACCCAAATGCAATCCACAACTTGTTGAAGGTTGCCTTGTGCCATTTCTACTGAATTATTGTCCTCCTTTTTCTTAAAAATCGTGGTTTTACTATGACCATAGATTTCGTGATCTTATCGTAACGCGCATAGGATCATAGGAATGGCCTCGTACATGCGCACGCAATCGCGACGTTTTTCCAATACCGTGTCTCGAAGACGTTTTCCTCTTTGAAATCCACGCAAAGCATCCCACCCACACGCAACGCGTAAGGGAGCTCTCGAAGTTGCTCCGGACAAGAAACGCCCGTGATTCGGACGTGAACCCGTCGTTCTCAAACCGAGCATCCGAGCACCCGTCGCGCCATTTGAAAAGACGCTCTTCCCTTGCCCATGTCGACCATGACCGGTTCGACGGGATATACGCTCGGCGATTCCGGAGATATGGAGGGGCCAGGAAGGACCATACTCTCCTGCCCATGGGAAAACAGAGCATGAGTGGTCCTCCTTTCTCTCTCCAAGACAGGCTTCAGAATCCTCCGACTCTTTGGACTTTCGAAAAACCAAGATGGAGTCCAAAATAAAAAGTTTGAAAAAGTGGAGTCCATACATATGAAGATGAACAAGACGAGTGCAATATAGGTAAGATACGAAAGAGAGAGGCAAGAGCTCTTGCGGAGGAGCATGATTGGCAGAATGGGTAAAGTTAAAATTACACATTGAGATTAAGATTACCGGTCGACATGAGAGTGGGAGTCGGATAATTGGGGACACATGTAATGTTGTAAGAAACGATGCTAAGAATTACTCGGCATAACGATATCTCTCGACGGTTTGTCACTGTAGGTTTCCGGTTAGATTAATCAGGATTCGAATCTTACGGGTATCTAACCGTGAAACTTCTTATGGAGAAGACTTTGAATAGTCTAACCTATTTGTTATGCACCATTTTTTCTGTTAATATGTTCTTAGTTGCTTTATCTAATGGTCGAAGTTCGTACCGACTTTTCAATGAATTAAAGCAACAAAACTAGGAAACGATTTCTTTTAGTAGTAGTAACTAGTAACCAAGTAGACCCCGCTTTCGTTGAAAATGCTCAACCAGAGCTGCAAACTTGCAAAACATGAAAGACGCTTCGAAAATTTAAAAATAAAAAAGGAAGAAATTTCACGATTTTTCTTTGAGCACCAAGTCCAAACTCGTCAACACATTTAGTTAGACTTACTTTCATTCAAAAGCTCCGGCCAATGAGTTATGTGCCGAATTTTGGGCCAACAATGGTATATAAACTGCTACACACCACGTCCATTCTTCGATGTTGGATTTTTCTTAGCCTGACTCACCAGCGCATCTTGAAACTCTTCATGTTCGAAACGAAGAGAACAGGTGCAATGGATGGAATGAAGGAGTAGGTTGATATTCGCTCATGCATGAACTTGATTCCTTCGTTTTGTTCATCACCGGGGGGGCATATGTCGGAGGATGATGCTAAAATACGTTTGCTCCTACAGGAATCTCAGGACAGGCAATTGTGCTGTGTCTAAAACGACCCGCGTCGAGAGGAGGAAGCGACCCCTTTATTCCTTAGGCAACGTGCCTTTTCCTTTCTTTTCATCTTTGGTTTTAGGCATGTGTATAGGCTGCCCCAATCTCCACAGTTTTCACATTTCCTAGGAGCAGGTTGATGAGGAATCGGGTACTTCGGGCACTTCTCCTTTTCTTTGGGGGGTTGCGATGGTACTTATGCTTATGCTTCGTTAGGCAATAGGCATCATCGTCTAGAAAAAGAACGGCATCAGAAGAGTTTTAAAATTCACATGTGAATTCGATTGGAATGCCTATTGCATTAACGACGTAATCGATCCGTTCTGCTAGAACTAAACCGGCCATGCAATCAATACATAAAAATCCTTTTTCCCTCTGTACCCGACACGTTCTGTATATCTGGTTGTCTAAGAGCTCCTCCTCCGACGACGACTTAAAGTTTACACAAAGAGAAGCCAATTAGGGGTTAGATAGATTCACATCACCAGAGAGAAAAAAGCAAAGCGTAGTTCTTGATGAAGAAAGGAGTCAACCGTTCATACCTCTTCCCAAAATCCGGAAAGTAGGAATTGATACTCCAGCAGCAGAAGCAGACGCAACTTCCGTCATTCCATATACCAGGAAATGCAGAACACGACCTTCAATTTGCATTTCTTGCTTCCATACATAAAGCCGGACTTCTGAATTCGGTGCCCGTCGCGTCGTGTGAGAATGTTTGACAAAGCTATATTCCCGCGCTTTCCCTTGTCGCGCGCTGTTCGAAAAGTCCTCTCTTGTGTCGCCGCATAGATGAATTCACTTTACTAGTTTGGTAGCGACAAGAAAGAGGTGTCGGGATAGCGTTCGCGCGTCTTTTGCATGGGGGTTCTCTCTCGGGATCTCGCAACGTCCGTCGAGTGATGAACGGCAATAGCAGTGCTCTCAAGTGAAAGGGGAATATTAGATATTGATGATGGCAAGGGGCTTCACCGTGGACTTAGTCAGCCGGAAAGGCCGAGGAGAATGTTTAGGGTATGGGCCGAGACTGTTTTGGGCCCGTGTGGAACAAATCTATTCCTTGTTGGGCCTTGCTCGGTGTATCGGCCCAAAAAGATTGGGCGGCCCGAGCATGACTTGCGTGATCCAGGTGCACATGAGCCCCGTTGGTTCTAGCCGTCGAACAACGTGCTGGGAATCACGTGAGATCCACATGATCGAGGCTTGATTCTGTCGCCGTCGGTCTCATATGCACCGGGATCATAAGCATATGTCCAGTACAGCAGCTAAAAGAATATCAACAAGTATTTTATATCGCGATCTGATTATAGTTATGAGCTAGTGTTAAACATGCGCATACGTCACGAAGAGAATAGTACCGCATACATTTATTTCGGCCAATTTTTTTTTTTCCAAAGGTTAAAAGGTTGCAGTGTGAACAGTCTTTGAACAAACTTTTGGAAACGAGAAAATAAGAGATATGCAACGTATTTTCAGATCGTGATTGATTTTGTCGAAAAGAACGTCTGGTATTTATCGCCGAAACGTGTCTCTTATCTGTGTTGGCAAGATCAGTGGATATACATTGAGCACGATCTTGTTCTTTAATCTTTCGAAGAAAAATCTTCTAATAATCGATGAATTACAAATGGAATGAAGCTAGCGAAAAAAACTGGAAAAAAGAAGGCATGGCTCTTTGATCACATCAGTTTGGAAATACATAAATGACTTGGAAGGCATCAAATTAACATAGGATCAACACTTGCGATTTTGATATGGATGCAATTCATATGGAAAATACTTTATTAATTTTGCGTCAATAATTATCGATAAATTGCATATCGGACAAAAGTTAAATTAAGTGCAACACACATAAAAATTTTTATTTGTTGGGCAATTGCATGAAAATAAGAAAAATTTCACTAAAACTCAAGGAAAAGAAAAGCTTGAAAGTGGTAATAGAAAGTGGGAGTAGGCGAAGGTGAGAGCAGCGTTGGAAGCTACGCTACCTTACCTTATGTGCAGTCGACACATTGTCAATCTACCCATTTCGATGCACGTGGATTTTTCATTATTACTTCATCATAACGATGCGCAACGAATAAAGAATAGTTAGGTGCGCGCATACATGAATGAGATCGGTACAAACTCGAAGCTATAGAACGGATTGACGGCTCGGCCTGAACGGGATGAGAAAGAACAGATGCTGTGTCTAACCAAACCGCAAGTCTAACTACTGGTCCATAGGCCAAATGATCACGTACCGGGTAGATACGCATCAATCAGGTAATTCGTAGTCGCAGAAACCATAGCTGAGCTGCTCTGTCCGTGCATCATCTTCAAGCCTGCACGCTGGATGGGACCTCAGACTCTTTTCAGCGTACAACAGATGGGGCTCAGTCCATGTTTGGGTGTGGGGACGTTCGTCGGTTACTGTCTTGTCTGTGCTTGCACAATGGTGATCAAGATGTGAAAAAAGAGCATTCGATGAGCAACGAACCTAAGACTTGGTTGACAACTGTCGAGAATGTGAACATCTGCCGCGATCGAGTCAGATTGGTAACAACAGTCACTTCCTGTTGCTACCAACTCGTTTTTCTATCAAGCAAGACCTCGCATCACCAGATGTTGCTCCTATCAGCGCACTTTTAGGTAACACTTACCAGTATCGCTACACCTTGCTCCTACCAACTACATTTTATGCGATGTCGGGCGGCCGAAACATAGTATCCGATACCCTTCTGCACGGTCTCATTCGATCATGCCACGCTGGGTATATAAGATACAGTCGACAATTTAGTTTTTCGCCGTTTGTTTCACGGATGAGTATAATACAAATGATGGAGTGAAGGTCTTGAATTTCTTATCAATCGCAAAGTGCCGACGTTTTTCCTTCCTGTAAGAGAAATGAAGAATAAGGGAACGATGCCCATCCAACCTTCCCCCTAGTTTATGGCCTTCAAAGCTACTAAACTACATCTGTTTTTCAGCTTCGTTTGCACTCGTAAGAGAAAGGTACAGAGCAAAGAAAAATCGGCCACATCGAGTGAGTTTTGCGGTGCCTAATCTTTCTCGCTCGTCTAATCCTTAGAATTGCAGAATGTGGACGGGGATGGAGATAATCACATTATCCGATCGGGGATATGGTCCCCAAATTTTTTCCCTCACGGAAAGCCACTGAATATTCTTGAATATGTTTGAACTTTTTCTGCGGGTCTAAGATTCAAAGTGTCCCTCCATGTAACCACAACCACCACCACTCTTTCCTATCAATTCCTCCAAAGCTAACTGCCAAACTGTTTTCCTCCTCCCTCCAAAGTTATGCCAACACCTCCTCCTCCATCTCCATCTCCATCTCCATCTCTCCTCCTCCACCACCACCACCACCTACTCTTCTCTCTCTTCTCCTCCACCTCCCATGGCCAAGAACTCACCTGAATAATCCCTCTGCGGCCACCGCCGCATTCCCCTCTCTCTGTCTCTCTCTTTCTCTCCAAAGCAATGATTACTTCTTATTGCCTGTCTTCCACAAGAAACACCGTCACGCCCTCTCACTTGTATCTCCCCAAGTATCGACCCCCTTCGCTCCCCCACGAACCAAGCTTTCCGCAGAAAGAGACTTTACCCCTAAAACCCCACCTGCTTCGCCTGCGAAACCTCCGGCCAGCACACCCATTTGCCAGCATATCCTCCTTTGCTGATGCTGAAGGCGAGGAAATATTCGAGCAAGGAATCAGGGTCGTTGAAGGCAAGAGAGCCGGCCCTTCCTCCTCGGACACCGCCCATGATGGCGATGGCAACGGTTCGCCCGGGATGGCACAGGCCTTTGGCATATCCTCCAGGACGGCATCGGCGATCTCAATATGCATAGCTTTCGCGGTGCTGTTGCTGCCCCTGGCAATGAGGTCACTGGGCCAAGGTATGGCGATGAAGACTCGGGCGCTGTCATACGCGACGCTGCTGTTTGGGTTCTACATGGCATGGAACATCGGGGCGAATGACGTGGCGAACGCGATGGGGACGTCGGTGGGGTCAGGGGCACTGACGCTGCGGCAGGCGGTGCTGACGGCGGCTGTGCTGGAGTTCTCGGGGGCGCTGCTGATGGGGACGCACGTGACCAGCACCATGCAGAAGGGCATCCTCATCGCCGACGTCTTCAAGGGCAAGGACACTCTGCTCTTTGCCGGCCTGCTCTCTTCTTTGGCCGCTGCCGGTACTTGGTTGCAGGTTTGTGATTGTTGTCGCCACTCTTACATCTTCCATATCTTTTGATCTACTCAATGATGCCATGGGCTCCTATCCAGTTTTGAGTATGACATATTTATTTAAATGCCCGCTTGTAGTCTGTCACGCCCTTGTTAAAGCATATCTTCCATTAGTCTTTTGGTTATTCTCAGTTTTAGAATTTTGGTTACTCTGTGGTGAGAAGTCTCCTTCCCCATTAACCAAGGAATTGATGAAACCAGCCCCTTTGATTTGTACGCATTTTGCATAAGAAAATTAAGGATGAATGCAAAGGCAATAGTGCAGCTGGACGAGAATAATGTAGAGGCTTCGTCAGGGTCTCACTATATCTTTAATTTTCCTTCTTGGTTAATGGGAAAAAGTTCGAGAAGCTCATCCAAAGCCGTTGTGCTAAAAAGTGCTCTCTTCCAAGCTCAGTTCATTCTTCCTCTCTCTTGTTTACTGTACTTGTTTGTGACAGTTCAAGCCATTGTTTTAAGATCCTGGTAACAGCTTGAATAGAGTATACCAGGAGTTGGTGGGTACTAAAATTGAGACGAGAAGGATCTTTAACAGGGAAAAGAAATTCACTGCGTTGCACAACTAAATGAATCTGTTCTTTTTGTCTGAGTTTTGCTTATCCATGGTATCTTTGATGTCCAGACACAAGCCAAAGGGAGTTTCTTACAGCAAAATCCCAAGATATGTTGAAAGATCTTCCCGATTCCAGAGAATTATTAATCTGAAGCTTCTTTTTAACTTGGAACTTATTGAGATGGCTTTACAACCTGACATGTGACGCGTTAAGAACTAGGGTGTGCAACCGGACCGGGTTTACCCGGAAACCGGACCGGTTTACCCGAAAACCAGACCAGTCCACCTGAAAAACAGGTTCGGGAACCGGTTCCATTTTTAGGAACCGGTTAGAACCGGTCTGGTTTCTGGTTCCAAGTGAAAACCCACCCGGACCGGTTTTAGAACCGGTTTTATATGGAGGTCCACTTGCAATTTTATATGGCCAGAATTCAAAGCATTCTATCATAAAGGATGAGGGAGGTAATCATTATTTGCGGATAATCTAGCTCAAGGGCTTGTAAGCATTATAGGAAGCAATTTCCTTTTTCTTAAAATTTTTGTTCAGTAACGAAAAAACTACATATCCAACTGGAACCTATGGTGTTTTATCACGTCCATTAAATTATTGGGATTAAGATAATATGCTTTTGTAGGAATACTTAAGATTATTTGCATAGTCAAACTTATAACCTTTGATTTGAGTTATAAGTTTTCCTATTGCTACTCGGAAAAAATGAAACCAAAAAAAGAAACAAAAAAAAAGGGGTTCTCGGTAGATCCTGTAACCGAATCGAAAAAACAGGGTCCAGGGCAAACAGGGTAGGTTTTAGGTTCCAAAAACTAGGAACTGGTTATAACAGGGTCGGTTTCAGGTTCCAAGTCTGGAACCGACCCACCTTGGAACCAATCACCCCTATTAAGAACAATAGAGTACGGAACCTTAAATAATATAATTTCGAGAGGTGAAAGCAGAATAATTTGAATTGAACCCTGAAGAGACACCCCGTCGTGTTTGTTTGAGAGTCGATGATCGGGTGATGTAAAAGATGTTTTGTCGCACTGCCTGCCAATGAACTCTCAACTTTCATGGCCTAGTCCATCTTGGATATGAAAACTTCCGGGTGATTATAACTGCGTACAGTAAGTTCGTGATTTGCAACTCTAGTCATTCATATGTAGCTGGAACCTCTCCCAGAACGATCTCTCTGAAGTAGTTGCCACGAGTATGCCTATGGAATCACACATTTTTTTCAGCCTAAAAAGACTGACCATCTTTGAACCAGGTTGCATCGTACTATGGTTGGCCAGTGTCGACCACACACTGCATAGTTGGCTCGATGGTTGGATTTGGCCTCGTCTATGGAGGTGCAGGCGCCGTCTTCTGGAGTTCACTTGTGAGGGTCACATCGTCATGGATTATCTCACCACTAATGGGGGCATTGGTCTCATTTCTTGTATACAAATGCATCAGGAGGGTAAGACTTCAGCTCTTGGTATGAAGCCTTCAAGATTGTGGTGAAAAAAAGATCGGGAAAAGAAGTGATCAGTGGAATTCAATGAGTATTTTGGGCATCTCTGCCAATCTACCGTTTAGATAATAACTAAGTGAAGTGTGTCGAGCAGGAATTTTCAAGAACATGGCCTCATTGATATCGCCTCTGTTTTATGCAGTTTGTCTATAGTGCTCCCAATCCAGGACAAGCAGCCGCAGCCGCTGCTCCCATTGCAGTTTTCCTCGGTGTGACGGGAATCTCCTTTGCAGCGTTCCCACTTAGCAAGAGTCTTTTTTTGGCCTTAGCCCAGGCCTTAGCCTGTGGCACAGCCGGGGCTTTCCTCGTCGACCGCATGATCCGTAAACAACTCGGCCACCTCCTTGAGGAAACCGATTCATCCCAGCCAAAGCCAGAGGAATCCATCCTCAATAGAGATGTTGGGTTTCTGTCAAAAATCAAGGGCCCGAAGGGTGCTCAGCTGGAAATAGTGTACGGGGTCTTTGGGTACATGCAGGTTCTCTCCGCTTGTTTCATGTCATTTGCACATGGAGGAAATGATGTCTCCAATGCGATCGGTCCTCTAGCCAGTGCGTTATCCATCCTCCAGGGCAGTGCTGCTGGCGCCGATAAAGTCATCCCCATTGACGTCCTTGCTTGGGGAGGCTTCGGCATTGTGGCAGGCCTTATGATGTGGGGGTACAGAGTGATTGCGACGATAGGGAAGAAGATAACAGAGCTCACACCCACTCGTGGATTTGCAGCTGAGTTCGCGGCCGCTTCAGTGGTCCTGTTTGCCTCGAAGCTGGGCCTCCCTATCTCAGCCACACACACGCTTGTTGGTGCAGTGATGGGAGTCGGGTTCGCGAGGGGGCTTAACAGTGTTAGAGCCGAAACTGTCAAGGAGATTGTGGCTTCTTGGGCCGTGACAATTCCAGTCGGCGCTGTCTTTGCCGTCTTCTATACCTGGATATTGACAAAGCTATTGCCATACATTTTGTGAGTGTAAGTTAAAAGATATACAGCTTCCTCAAGATTACCAATATAGATAATTATCCCATTGCTGTCTTCTGGTTTGCTTACTAGATGGCTTTGTCGGTAACAAGCTAAAACGCTTGAATCGGGTTCTTTACTGTTTCCAAATGATTTTGTCTGGAACTGAAGCAGTCTTTTTTTCTCCCTGCTGAATTACAATCAAATTGGATAACCATCCAAATCAATGGAGCTGTTGCATATACTTCAACCAATTTTCAAGATCTTGTATGAGGTGGCGTCAGAATCCAGTGCATAAACGGTGGAATACACTAATTATTCAAAATATGCTTTATTTCCGGACTGAGCAAGGTAAAAAAAAAAAGGCACTGATTTTCTGGTTCTTCTGCTTGATGAAGCTGGTTTTTTTATCAAAGGCAAAGCAAAATGCTGCGAACATCAGAACGTGCATTAGATGGAAAATTGAGGATGTCTAAGATTGCATGGAAAATGCTGATAAAAGTGGGAAAAATCAAAATGGTTCAGTCATAGACTGAAACATGGTGCTTTGATATGCATTAACAGAAGAACATGAACTGGATAAAATGATGATTTAAACCTTATGGTGTGAGCGGCCGCATGGAGATGGGGAAATGGTTACACTTTCATCTACTAAAGAAGCAGTCTTTTGGTCAAATAAATTGAGAGAAGAACAAGGAAAAACATCCAATTAGCTGCGATCAAGTGTAACGGTACAACAAAACAGAGATATAGAGGCACACATGGGAAACGGATAATTCGTTGTCCAACAAACTGAGACTGTCTGGATCATTAAACATAGAATAAAAGAAAATTCGCTTGTCTGATATCTCTGAGAGGTACAAAATTTGCCATTGAAGTGTGTAAAGATCAACAACCATGGACTCTGGAAGCCTTGAAAAGAATAGAGAATCATGGAGAGAGCTCTTGTACAGAGGATAGGCTCGGCTCCCATGTCATCGAATGCAACGTTCTCGCCCTCGGGATAGGAGGTACAAAAGGCTGCTTCTTGATGCCCCTCTTTCTCCTCGAACATCCTGACCATCTGTCCTTTGAGGTGTAAAAATCATTCGCCGAGCAAATGGGTTGCTCGATGGGTTCTTCGACTGGGTTGACTTTGGCTTTCATATCCAACTTTGTTTCATCAGCAGCAGCTTCTTTGGCTTTCATTTTCTCTTGATACTTGCGCTTCAGCTTGCTCACAGTGGTGGATGGAATTACAAAGTACTTCCTGCCAGGTACTAAATCTTCCTCCGGACTCAATATGGATTCATGGGGCTTCCTGAAAACTTCCGGGAGTGCAACACACATGCCAGGATATTTCTTCATCACGTGGGATGCAGGAATCACATCTTCGTACAGCTCAATTCGCCCACCTGCATGGATTATTCTTACAGGGACATTATTCAATTGTGAGCCCAGAGAAATATCTCCGAATTGTAAGCTTATTTCCAGCGAGAAGGAAGCTCCAGCAATGGCCCTTTTTGGTGTTGAGGGGGGCTCCTTGTGGGAGACTAGCCCCAGCAAATTAACACAGTTCTTCAGCATAGCTGATCACTATGCGGTAACTGGTTGTGAATCGGAATTACTTAAACTGTGATATGGCATCACATTGTGTTATCCCTGATTCCTCACAATGGCAGCTATCTTCTGGCCTATCCCTTGGCCGGCTTTGTTTGTTTTAACATTTTCAAACATGTTGCGGCGATGAAACCAATGCTTACCCCCATCACAATCATGGATGGAGGAATAATATCTCTAATCATTTCTCTTCCTTGTGAAAACCAAAGTCTGCAAGAGACAGATAGGAGAAGCACCAACAGGGTCTTACCGTTCACTTGCTAATTGATTTTCATGCCAGTTCAGCAGACACCTCCTTGTGCTGATATCATACTCCCAAAGTCCAGATAACACCTGACGTTCCAGCTTCTTCCTTCTTCCACTAATCCAATTGTTGTGAAGGATAAAACAACCCTTCTTCAAACAGGTCTCTCTGACGTTTCTTTCTTCCCAAAGTCCTCCATATGCACCATTTGGAAATAAATTTCTGTCCAGAAAATGAACTGTCAAATTTGTCTCGGGTTCGAAGCATGCATTATTGCCCAAGCGATTGGATCCCCCTAGCCCACATAATGTGTCGTAGAAACTCGGCTGCTCCGATAGGCCTGACTTAGCAGCATGCTTTACCACCTTCTCCAAAGCAGCGATTGTTGAAACATCAGAATGAGCAAAATAAAAGCCAGAGTTCAAGCGCCTGGGCATATTAATAGGTCCTAGAAAAAATATAGATATTAGAAGCGCTAATATTAGCAGTAGTCTTACAACTAAGACCATGATCTTCCTCACAAGTAGAAGAAGATTAACGCGAACATCTTGTTGTCCTTTTGTTCTCTTTTATTTTATGCATAACAATATTTTTACCATAAATTTTTTTTTTGTCATTATGATTTTGAAATTATTTAGAAATATTGCATAACCTGATGCAGTGAGTGGAAGCACGAGCCTTGGACGTAATACCTGTTGTATTAAATTCATCAGACTGTGCGACGAGAACAGCCGGACCATATGAGGAGACCAGTGGTAAAGGATCCTTGAACCAATAAACATCAACATCGCTAAGAAGTACACTATATCCTAGCTTGAGTATCTCCAAAACTATTCTGGACTTCACTTTGGTCACCCTTTGGAAGCATTTTGTACCGAAGTGGCAGTCATCAAAGCTAGTATCATTTGGAGCTGATGAATCCCTGAAAACTGGAAGCCCCTAGCAATAAAAAGGAGTAAATGAAATTCAGATAGCAAGCACCAGCCTCGTGCAATGAAAAATATAAAGTGGCAACAAATCTCAGGCGACAGAAAACATCCAATTATCCATGTCCCTTCAATCAAATGACTGAATGCTCTTGATTTCTAGCCATTTTTATTGAAAGTAACGGAGTTCTAAAATATGAAACAATCTATCTTTTAATCTTGTAAGGACTATTGAGCAGACTGATGCACAAAGGAACAGGTATCAACTTCATGAGGGACTCATGTTACCATTGATTTGCTATATAATGGTCCAATCGACCTTACATATACCCATAATTTCCTGCTTTGGTATGCAATTGTAGCAAGATTTGATAGTGACTATTTAGACCATAGAGGGAAAGAAAGGTAATGAAGATGAATAGCAAGGGCAAAGGAAGGGACAAAAACTGGAGCTGTCATACTTGTAAGACAGAAAATTCATAAGTTTCATCGTCAAGAGCATAGACAATGAAATTTGTCATCTTGAGACCCCGCAGTCTGCAAGCCCAACTCATCAACATGTCCTTATAACTAAATCCAGCAACACCGAGCACAATTGTCCTATTCTTGTCTGCAATGATCGAGAGGAGTGACTCCAGCGTGAATGGATAATCCAATCTCACTGATGGCTTCAACTGATTTTTTAGGGACCATTTGAATGCACCATGTGATGAATTAACATCCTTAGCACAGGCGGCTAGCTTCTTCTTTCTCCAAAAATGCACAATCCTCCTTTCAAACAAGCCAAATGCTTTTACGTTCCCAAATATGTGGAGAATGTTGTCAGATGTGTCAGCAAATATATATGTGCCGTTGCATCTCAGTAGTTTCACCAGACTGGAATGCTTAGCTTCATGGAAAAGTGATGATCCATAGAGTGCCCCTAGAAGAGAATTGCCAGCATATTCCCAACTTCTTTCCTCAATGTTTGGATTACCAGAACACCCCACACACTTATTAGACCGAGGTGCAGGATCAGTCATATAGAAACTTGAAATACTCCAACTAGCATCAAGCACAAACCTCAGTTCAGATGATGCAACCTCATTAATGACCCAATGGTTGTGTATTCCCTTCCCATATAAGAAAGGGGGAAGTATTCCAGTATGCAAGGGCAAATCCCTTCTGTTCCATGCCGTGATCAATCTTCCCTCATTGTAATTAGGTTGCGAATTCTGAGTGATAATCTCCTGCAACTAATGAAATAGAGCATAATCTCAGTCTAGGTGCCTCACATGAGCAGCATGAACCAGCAACTTCCAATCTAAGTTAGGCTTCGTCATACCTCCTTCATTTTCACCCGATTGCCATCCTCCCTCAGCCAATGTTTCCCATCTTTGTCCAAGTAAAATGGGAAATAAGAGAGGTTACGCGGAGAAGCAAAAAGGAACCAGTCGTGATCGAGTTCATGGACAAATTTCAGTGCCGAAACAAAGTTGGCAAGTAGGATGGTTTCGGGATGGACAAACACACATATGTCAGACGCGAATTCCTGCGACCTTGCCACCATGGAATGAAAGAATGGGGTACCCAGGAACCTAGAAAGATACAAAGACACATCAGGCTACCAGAAAGTGCGACAAGAAATCTCTTTTAGGTTCATTCAAGTATGCTCATATACGTCATTTTCTACCTTTTATTCATACTGCCAAAAGTCCCCTAATCAGAAGGCAGGTCATAGGAAGCGTGCAAGATGTCTAATCAGGAACCAACCACCTAAGGTTCGCCTCTTCATCGAAAATTTTACGACATTGTTCAATTACAGAGAGAAAGTACACTATCCTACATGGTGATCATTGAACCACTACAAACTGTATGGATATTCCAGACAGACATATCAGCCAATCAGATCAGCTAACACAACCCTAGAAGCAGAAAATGACAGTAAAAACAGTCGACACGACAGATGTTAAATTCTTCAGCTAATACATATCTAGAAGCTGAAAAGGACAGCAAAAGCAGTCATTCGAACACAAGCTAAACCATCAACCCCGAAATACAAAGCCACACTTACGTAAAATCGATATTGGGCTCGACCAATACACGCGGCCCGAGTTCAGCAGCGAAAGAGACGACGGACTCGTGTCGGCTGAATAGCACCACCGTGATTCGCGAGGGCAGCCCGAGCCACGAACGGATCGCGACGCTCTGCGCAGCTCCGACCGAGCCAGCGAAGGGTCCGGGCGCGGCGAATATGGCAATGCTCGGCCCGATCTCGTCGGAGACCACCTTGCGGCTGAGCAATGGGTTCTTGATCCGATCCTTCGCCGGCGGCAACTTGTGGGTGGCGTAAAGGGAGAGGCCAACGAGCACCAACCCAGATAGCCAAATCGACCAGAGACCCGCTTCCACTGCCTGACCAAATCAAGAAACGTATCAGCACCCAAGAAAGAAAGAAAGAAAAAGAAGCTGATAAAATCTCGAGAGAGAGCGAGAGAGAGAAGGGACCTTCGACTTCATCCTCGTCGAACGGCTGAGAAGATGGATGAAGCAATGAGGAACGGGAGCCGTGTTGGGTTCTGGTTTCATTGACTGGATTGGATGTGTGTGTGTGTGTGTGTGTGTGTGTGAACGAAGGGAAGGAAGTGGAACTTTAACTGAAACAAGCAACGACAACCCCCCCGCCCCCCCCGATAGAAAGAAAAAAAAAACAATAAAGAAGAAGAGAAGGAACTGAAGAAGAAGAAGAGCACAGAATTCAGACAAACTCCCACTTCCTCCGGTTGCGCCGTGCCGACTCACGAGGAAGAAACACGCCGACGGTGCGAGGCATGTGAATGTTGTCCGCCGAAGATGGAGACCGGAGGGTCAACGGTCAAGACCGTTGAACTTCAAACGTTGTCAAGAAAGAGTATATTGGAAAAGTTTTGTCTTCGAGGTGGATTCCTCAAAAAAAACCCAAAACTTTAGGTCAAGTCTTAAATTTGTTCCGAACTTTTTTTATTTCAGAAAAAGTTCCAAATTATAGGTTTAGTCCCAAATTTGGCCCAAATTTTTTTTTGTCTTAAAAAAAACCCAAACTTTAAGTTCAATCCAAAATCTATCCCGAATTTTGTTTTGTGTAAAAAAATAGCAAATTTTAATTTATTTTCAAAAATATACCCACATGATCCAATCTCAACTTGACGTGGCACTTCCACGTTGATAATAAATCTACATCAGCAAAGTAATGAGGCTATAGATACAGACTAACATCGCATTTCCACTTCGATAACAAATCAAACCCAATAAAAATAAACCATTAGGCTGCGTTTGGTCGTCCGGATTTCTAAACAGGATAGGACTGGATAGGATAGGATAAGAAATCCTGGGATTTCTTCATATCCTATCCACTGTTTGGTGGACTACGGATTTAAAGTCGGATATGATATTTTTTTTTTTGTGCTATTCACGGGTCCGGAGGAGTCGGTGAAGGAAAAAAAGCTGAGAAATTTTTTTGGTGAAAGCGCACAAGGTGTGGGGATGAAGATGACGGCGAGTAGAGAGTAGGGTTTCTGGAAAAATAGACATTAGAAATCCTATCCAGGTCTATCCCACCCCCCTCGGATTTTTTTATCCGGGCTATATCCGGTCTATATCCGACCTTATCCTATCCGGGACCACCACCAAACACAGGATAGGATAAAACATATCATATCCTGGCTTTTATCCGGTCGACCAAACGCAGCCTTATAGGATATGAAAGTTAGGGATGATAACAAATCCATCCCAAAAAACTTTTTTTAATTTAAAAAGAAACCTAATTTTTAGGTTCAGTCTAAATTTGGTTTGAACTTTTCTTTATCTGAAAAAAAGCCCCATTACTTTGTTGATATGGATTTGTTATCCACGTGGAAGTGTCACGTCTAGTTGGGATTGGATCACGGGGTATATTTTTTAAAATAAATTGAATTTTGGTGATTTTTTTTACACAAAACAAAATTCGGGGTAAATTTTGGACTAGACTTAAAGTTCGGGATTTTTTCTAAGATAAAAAAAAAGTTCATGGCAGATTTGGGACTAGACCTAAAATTTGAGATTTTTTTTTAGATAAAAAAAAGTTTGGTACAAATTTGAGACTTGACCTAAAGTTTTGGGTTTTTTAAAGATTTAGGCCCTTCTTTTCTTACATTTTTTTTTGGTCGATCTTCTTGTCTGACATGAAGAGGTATTGAATGTATATTTCTATTTGGGTGACTTTCCTCTTCCGGAGAAAATTTTGACATTTCATAACTCTAATAACTCTCGTATTTTGATTTTATAAATTTTGAAACATTTCCATATACACGGATATTATTACGTAGTTCGATGTAAAATATAGTGGTGTTTTACTTTTTGATTTATAAGAAAAGCCATAAATGTATGGCATTGATTAAGCAAACTCAAGACTTGTCTATTTATACGTAAAAAGAATTCCACCATAATTTACTTATTATTTACATTTCAAAAAGTTACAAGAAATATATGTGAATTTACGTGTCGACATATCTTTTATGTCAAACAGAGCATTTCGAAACATCCAACTTTAACAAAAATTCTTATGGGTGGTTCCTGTATCAACTAATAGAGTCCGATTTTCGAAGTAACTCATATTCCATACTTAAGTGAGACCCTTGAAAGATAAGATTGCCCAAATCTCAGCTTTCACATATGACTAGCATTTAGGTCATCTCACAAAACTTTCAATTGTAATATCGTCAATCGTTATAAAAACCTTCACGAGCTTTGAATTGAAAAAAACAGCATGTACTGCAAAATTTATATTACGTAAAAATGAAATTAATCTAGATAAACTCTTGAAAAAAATCATGGAAAACATGCATACAATTAAACTACATTATGACTACACACAACAATGGATGATTCGCAAGAAAATTACCCTCTAAGTTTACCTACAAAATAAAAGATACAATATTTAAATATAAACCACGCCTTCATTTAACAGCTTAACCTTTTAAAATAATTGAGAGTGATCCCATAAAATCTGACACAACATCAAAGCATGAGGTTTTCAGTTTAAATTTTTTCGGGTTCCATTTACCTCGTTAATTAAAGGACTTCCACCCCAAATATAGGTAAAGCATCCCTCTAATTGCGCACCGACTAAAACACCCTCAAATCTCTTCTCTTTCCTCACTTGGACACCCTTGCACTCCTTTCCATTATGTCTTTTTGTCCTCATCTTAAATTCTCTACAAACATGTCTTTGTTTTTTTGCTCCACTCCTCTCGTCAACTTTGCACAACGGAGACAGCTTCATGCTCACATCCTTTGCTTGCATTGGGGCGATGAAGATTGAAAGGGGGATAAGATGGGTGATGATCCAAAAGCATCTTATCGACCTGAATCTCATTTTGAACTGAAATATATTCAACAAGAAAAATAAAAAAAAGAAAGTTCGCAGTGTACCAGTGTTTTTGTAATTAGGCTATGTTCGTTTTCACGAAAAAAAGTGATATTTCTGAAAATATTTTTCAGAAAGTTATTTTTCAAGAAAATGACAATATTTTTCGGTATTCGATTGAAGCCTGAAAACGAGCTAGAAAATAGTTTCCGCTATTTGACATTTGAAAATCTAATTCAATTTTTTTAGGAGAAAATATCAAAAATTTCGAATTTTTTAAAATTTTCTTTTTCCTTCTAACTTTGCCAATCGCCGGCTATAGCGATGTCGGCAACGGTAGGCAACTGGCCACATGCGAGGTCAAGCCTCGGTCGAGGTCAAGCCGGCGAGCTCGAGACTCACTTGTGGCCGATCGTTGGCCGTCGCCGTGGCTGGCAACCGGCCATGGAAGAAACAAAAAAAGAAAAAGCAAGAAAAGAAAAAAAATAAAAAGGAAAATAATTCAAAATAATAAAAGTTCGAATTTTTTAAAATATTTTTACAAGAATAAATGTTTCATTAATTAAGGACTCGAGCCTAAGTGCTGAGAACTCGCATATGGCCTTTGTGAACTTGAGCTTGAGGGTCGGGAGTAGATCTCGAGTGTCGGGGACCCGAGCACGGCCTTTATAGATCCGGGCTTAGGTGCTGGAGCATTTGGTACGGGCACTCGGGGTTCAGGCCCGATCGTGAGAGACCTGATCTTGGCATCAGGGTATCATGTTAAAGTATAAAGTTTTGGATTCAAGCACTGATAACTAGTCATATTTTGAAAAACGTTTTCTGATTCATTCAAAGAGGAAATCATTTTCATGCTATGGTAGAAAACATTTTCCGTTGAATGAGAAAATATTTTTTTTTGTTTACTCATTTTCGTAAATAAATTAAATATCGAAAAACTAAGGAAAATATTTTTCACGAAATAAACGGATCCTACGTCGTCTCATTTTCCACCCGCCGGGGATAATTCCGGTGACGTGTCGCGTGCGGTTAAACTAAACTAATCACCGCTTCCCGCAACCAGAAGCGGCAAGCAACAGCTCCCCACGGCAAAGCAGCGCAAGCCGCTCCGCCAACCGTCGGATCTGACGAATCTCGCGCGGGGGGCCCACCGCCAACGGTTCAGATCCTCTCGCCACACGCACTATTTCCCGAAAACGATCTCTCTCGTTTCCCGGCACGGCTCTCGCGCCCCGCAGAGCGCCACGTTCCATCACATCCTTCCCAGACCATATTGCCCTCCCCAAAAACCGAAATCGCCTCCCCTTCTTCCCGGCCGCCGCAAGGGCACTCCCGTCTTTCCATCCCAACTGCCTAAAATATCTCCTTCCTTTCTTCCTTCTTCTTCTTCAGTAGCTCAGTCAGCTCCCGCGACTAACCATATCTCGCTTCTCTCTCTGGTGACGGCCGCCATGGCGACGGTGCTCGGCAACATAGCTCTGCTGCTGGACCTGAACTCGCCCAGGGCTTCGATCCCCGATCGGAAGTGGCGCCCCTCGCTGGTGGACGCCGTCTCGGGCCTGACCAAGAGGGAGCCGCAGTTCACCTCCTACTACGCCGCCCTGGGCTCCAAGGGCTTCGAGGCCGACGGGGACGCCTGGAGCCACCGGGCCGTGGTGGCCCGGGGCAAGGCCAACTCCAAGGTGAACGGGGTCGATTTCGGCGCCGGGTCCAGCGACGAGGACGGGAACGGGAACGGCAACGGCAGCGGGGGCGGCGAGGACGAGGAGGAGTTCGACTGGGAGAAGGAGATGAGGAGGCGGGTGAAGGAGATGGAGGAGATGAAGGAGCTGGAGCGGAAGGCGGAGGAGCTGCAGAGCCGGGCGGAGGAGGAGGAGGGCGGAGGGGAGGGCGAGGGCGAGGGCGAGGGCGAGGGCGGGGAGGAGACGGAGGAGGAGAAGAAGATGAGAGTCAGGAAAGAGCTTGAAAAGGTTAGGTTTGATTAGATCGTCTGGGCGTGATTTTGATTTACGCTAATTACTGCTGATGCTGAAGCCTGATCGTTGTTCGTTACGTTGTTGCAAAATCAGAAGGGCGGGGTGCTTTTGCTCGTTGTTGTTAATTTGCTTGCTCGTTGAGGATTTTTCCATTCTTCGTGGGATTGTCTGATGCTGACAATACTTTTAGTTTCGAAGAAGATAAGGATGAGAGATGATGCTCTGTCGAATACATCTTTGGTGGATAGTTCAGAAATTTGTTGTCTCTTTACTACTCGTGATGATTTGAGAATCTAATTGTGTTTGCACGTTTATGTCTATGTCATGAGCTCTGCTTTGTTTGATACCGGTGCCCTGTCGAATGTGATAATGATATGTTCGCATGTTCTTCGGTCGGAGGTCAGGTGGCTAAAGAGCAGGCGGAGCGAAGGGCCACAGCCCAGCTGATGTTTGAGTTGGGTCAGAAAGCTTACGGAAAAGGAATGTATGGAAGGGCGATTGAGTTCCTAGAGGGCGCACTTACAATCATTCCCAGGCCTACATTGTTTGGCGGTGAGGTTGGTTTAGTACCCTAGAGTCTGCATGTCCTGGTGTTCTTTTCCTGGGATGTCACGACTCTACATCCTTAATACCATGTTGATGGGAACTGATGCAGATGCTTGTTCATTTTTGGCCTCCAGATTCAGATATGGCTTGCAATGGCATACGAGGCTAATAATCGTCATGCAGATTGTATTGCACTTTACCAACAGCTGGAGAAGAAGCACCCTATTATTAGCATTCGACGTCAGGCTGCAGAGCTCAAGTATATCCTTCAAGCACCTAAGTTGAAAATATCTCAAGAAGAGATGGTTACCATTCCGCTGATAGGATCCAGCTATGACAGGTACATTTCCATCTCTCCATGTCACCATTATTATCTTGACTTTGAGCCGATTTTCTGTCCTGCTTGCAAATTCAATTCTCTCGCATGAGGTGTACCAAATGTCAATAGGAAGGGAAAGTACTCGATATGTGTTACTGGTGATACAAAATAGGCATCACAGTTTTGGTTGCAACTGTTTCATGGAACGCTTGCGCTGGGTTCATTTGAATTTTAGATTACGGAGGAGCAACTGCATTTGCTCCTGGTTCGGCACTGATGCGTAAAGTGCACGAATTGGGTTCGGATGGATGTGTGGCTAATTTAACCAACCTACAATGTACAGAGTGAATGGATGAATACGTTGCAGAGATGAGATGAGGTGCTTCAAAATAAAATTAATTGCATGAAGGAATTGGATTTATGAAGTACGACTACTTAAAGTGAATTTCTCGATATGTAAATATAATTTAGAAGTAACTAACTTGAAGGAACTGAAATTCCAGTAGCAACTAGAAATCCAAGTGGAAATTCAAAGGTACAAGGATCTAAATGGACCACATCGCTGAAATCTTCAAATTACAGAATAATGTAGAGGCAAAAGACCAGTGCTCGATTTGTCTCGATGTCTGAGTGCATCCCCTCCTCTGTTTTGAGTATTCTTTTAATAGCATTCTCCTGCCGATTTGATTTTCTTCGCGATAATTATTCCCCTGACTATCTGATCACGTGTATCTTTATCTCAGTTGCTCCTAATATTTTAAATAACCTCCATCAAATACTTTAACTCCTGATAAATTCTTCTTCCATTTCTGTCTTCTCTTGTGCCTTTGATGCAGTCTTCTGCTAGCATGGTGTCTTTTATTTCTCAACTGCAAGACGACTACTTCCCACATTCTCCAACCTCACAACTCATTTTTACTTTTCACTTCATTTAACCAAATTCCACTGCTTTAGGTTGCGGACGAATATTTTAAAAGCGGGCACCAGCACAAAAATTCAATAAAGGGTTTAGTCAATAGTTAGTGGGTTGCTTGCCCAAACTTTGATCATTTAAACTTAGTCATCTTTACCTTTACCCATTTCACAAAATTAACCTGTATGAGAGAGCCTTCTCCCTTGTAAGTCTACGTTGATTCTAGCCAACTCTACTGTTAATATCGCGGACTAGACTCAGAGGCTGATGCTCAACTCTCAAAAAAGCACCCGAGAGCCTCATCAACAAGTCTTCCTCTTGATGTTATTTGAATTCTCTTGAAAACCTTGAAGAAATCTTCTTTGGCTAGAATCAACATTCCCTCATGCGAGGCGGTACTTTCTATATGCTTTCTGCTAGAGGATGGTGTTGCCACCTCTTATTTATGTACTGTAATGGGGTGTGTGTGCAGTTCCCATATATAATACCTTCCCTGATGGATCTTATGTTGGCTTTACCTGCACCATATCTGAATGAATTAATTGAGATATCTCACTGAGGAAATCTGAGCTCACAGCTTTAGACGGGACACGAAAATCAAAGCTGAGCAAGCAAATGTTGGCTTGACAGGTGCGGTGGGGGCCCTAAGTGTGTCCTGTCCTAATTTGCAACCTAATACTGTCAAGTTTGCCTTTACCATGTTGTTATGGACGGGGTTAGCATTTTGCTTGTGGTTGTTGTTATAGCACTGATGAAGACGAATTGAATGTTCAAAGCTCTCTATCTCCTGCTTTTTGGTGATGTCATACCCTAAATTTATCAGTGAAGCAGAACTGGGAATTCCATATGCTGGTATTCTCGTCTCTTTGTAAACATTGATGACGTGAGTGCTTCGTGTGGCTATTGCAGTTATGCAGCAACTTGGAGTGGTAAGTACAAAGACAAGGATCAAAACAGTAGTTTTCCCACAACCAACCGACTTCCTTCATCCAGAGATTTTCTGGGGGACTTTCTGGTCTGGCGGCCCCCGGTCGGCCTCGAGAAAAATAGGGCTTTCTGGGTAGCTTTGACAGTGTGGTTGGGCTTAGTTGGAGCCGCTATCGTCCTTCAGAGATGAAGCAGGGGTACAGCTCTCTAGTTACACAATGACATGTTATCCCTGGGTATCGTGATATGTATTTATCCAATTGTTTTGTGGTCAAGCGGTGTCAAATCTCACGTGATATATAGTTTCCGGTTCGTGAAGAGCTGTGTCCTTCACATCGAAATGCAATTCTTGAATTTGTTATCGACCGGTGCCTCGAAATTATCGGGGTGTTAGGGGATGCTGTCCGAGGTTGTAAAGATTGTCGTATTGTCCGAGGTTGTAAAGATTGTCGTATTGTATTGCCTAAAAAGATGAATGTTTTATTTCTCCGCTTCTCTCCTTGCTCTCGGACAGCTAATCTTAGCCTATTTTCAGGGGTAGCATCCGGGTAGATCTTGTGTTTATATGCACTTGTCGTACGTACCATTGCTAGTTTGTATTTTGCCGGAGTTGCGGCAATCAGGAAAAGTACCGAAAAAGCTGTAAATTTATTGCATTAGTACCATTTTAGTCCTAAACTCTTTAATGATTAATTTAGTCTTAAATCTTTTTACGTTTTGTCAATTGAGTCTCTTTGGCTAATTTAAGTTAGAAATTGTTAACGTGAACGTCAACTGTCTTATGTGACACGATTAATGTCGATATGGACATTTTTTTATATTTTTTTTGAAATTTTTAATTTTATTAAAATTTTCCATTATATTCCTTTTATTCCCTCTTCCTTCTCTTTTTTTTTTTAACCTAATAAGCCAGCCACTGGGTAAGGGTTGCGGCCCTCGCTCGACCTCATCCAAATGTGGACGAGGTGTAGGCGGCCGCGGGCGAGGCTGTCTCACCATGGCTTAGTTGGCTGCGGGTGAAGGTGGCCGCCTTGGTGATGGTTAGGGTGAGGTCGCAGGCGGCCGCGGGCAAGGCCAACATCGTCAGCCATGGATGAAGGCAACCATGGCCTCACCAATCGTGTGCGAGGCCACCTTTGCACCCAGCCAGCTAGACCATGGTGAGGTTGACCTCACCTAATCATCGGCAAGCTCTAGCCACCCTAGTCGGTCGGCTAGACCATGCTGAGGTTGACCTCACCCAATCGTCGGCAAGCTCTAGCCACCTTAGTCGGCCACCGTAGAAAAAAAAGAAGAATGAAAAGAGAAGAAAAAGGAAAAGGAAAAGAGAAAATTAATAACAAAAATCGAAAAAATATTGAGAAAATTATTTACATTAGAGCCAGCCGTGTTGTTTTAGGATGGTCGGTTTTCATGTCAACAATTTTCGCTTTAAATTAACCGGATTAATTCAATTGACACAACGTGAAAATGTTTATAACTAAATTGGTATTAATGCAATCGATTTGTGTGGCAATCTATCCTTCGTGTGTGTTTTTTCCCGAGTAAATGGTAAAGTGCTTTTATATATCGATATAAAGTTGTAAAGCACGTTTACGTTGCGAGTCAATAGGAAAGGTTTTCACCTAGGAAACGAGCTGAAGATCGTGCAAAATTAAGTAGGCCGAAAAGGATCAAGCAAAAGGAATCGGAAACATGCGGACGAAAGTTAACCAGGCCCAATGCGGTCTGGCCCAATGGCAGATCGTAAATACCCAAAACCCTAGAGGACAAAACGGTCAACCGAAATGAACCGCCCCCCCCACCCATCCCTCCTTCCCGTCCTCAATATAAAGAAACCCACCGAACCCTAATCTCGTCTTCTTCCCCATCTCAGAGCCTCCGCCGCACCGCCGAGCGACACCTCCCCCCACCGCCCCGGAAATGACGACTCGCTTCAAGAAGAACCGCAAGAAGCGCGGCCACGTCAGCGCCGGCCACGGTCGCATCGGCAAGCACCGCAAGCACCCGGGGGGCCGCGGTAACGCCGGAGGCATGCACCACCACCGCATCCTCTTCGACAAGTACCACCCGGGCTACTTCGGCAAGGTCGGCATGCGGTACTTCCACAAGCTCCGCAACAAGTTCTACTGCCCCATCGTCAACGTCGAGCGGCTCTGGTCGCTGGTCCCCCAGGCCGCCAAGGACAAGGCCTCCGGCGCCGCCGCCGCCCCCGTGGTCGACGTCACCCAGTTCGGGTACTTCAAGGTCCTCGGGAAGGGCGTCCTGCCGGAGAAGCAGCCCATCGTGGTGAGGGCCAAGCTGGTGTCCAAGATCGCCGAGAAGAAGATCAAGGAGGCCGGCGGCGCCGTCGTGCTCACCGCTTAGGTCGCCCCCATCCGGTAGCTTTTAGGGGTTTCCGTTTACGGTCATATACAATTGATCCCGCTTTCCATTATGGTTTTGACGCTTGGTTGTAATTGGATCTGGATCTGTTTACTTTTTATGTAGGCGGAGAGCTTAATTTTCTGGGTAATTCTCTTATGCTTGCTCGCTCGCTCACGTGCTTATGGCGATGGGTTCGATTTGCTTGGGATGATTTCTGCTTTCCGTAGTGTGACGTTATGCATTTCTGGGTGAATGTCTGTGATATTGATGGTCATCTGGAAAACTGTTCTTGTGTCTGGTGTCGACGACGCTTCACTTATCTGGTCAGTGAGGATTCAATTAGTTCCCACATGACTCGTTCCCTTGAAGCAATAGAACTTGTGTCGCCCTCGCGATAATCGTCTCCCTCGGCCCTCTTCGCTGCTCCGGGAGCTCGCGAGGGCGACTATATTTACACATTGTTTGTGGGTCGCCTTTGCCCCGTTTGCGTGACTGTTCGGTTGTTTTAAGTGCCGAAGCTTATTTGAATGTCGATGATGTGCCGCGATAATGGTATGCGGAATTTGATTGTGGCAGATATAAGTTTATGCCAGGGATTGATTTCTCTGTATGTTACGTAGCTTGGGATGGAAGTCTGATGTTTAATCTTTGGTTGGAGCCTGCTTTTCCTGCCACTTTGCTTTCTATCAAGTCTTGGGTTGCCTAAGGATACTGCTAGTTTGATCTTATATGCATGCTGATTAAGGAGTTTGCCATCTTTTGAGACCTTCAGAGGTTCCAATGCAGACTTAGTTTGGCTCTTTTTCATTCTGATCTTGTGGAAACTTTGCTTTAGCAGGGTAGACATGTCCAGCATGAAACTTTGGCACTTGAACTTCATGACGGTTGGGATATATATGTGGTGAAGATATTAGGAGCTAGCATTTTATCACTGTCATCTCAATTTATCATGCCATCCGTACGTTTGTTTCGTGGAAAATGAATAATCTAGAAATTTCTTTTTCCTGAAACATGAAGTGGATTATCGAGTAGTACGTTTGGTTTGAATTAGTTGGCCAATGAAAGATGTTTCGTTATCGACAACAGTTTATGTTTATACATTTTCGTGGACGATGAAGATATCTTCTGTTCGTTCATTTTCATAAGCGATACAAGCGATCATTTCTAAAAAAATATTTTTCAAATTATTCATTTCCCGCGAAACAAATGGAACCTCAATCATGCTTGTTAGGTAATTTCTTGGAATCGCAATCTCTGCGTTTATAATCTAATGGTAGATTATGAAATCACCAAATGAAATGCATTGGTTTAAAGTGTGTGTTGCCTAAGAGCTTTGCTTGAGGATTATTTTCGTGCCTAAAGTACTCGGTCTTTTTATAAAATTCGTGATGTTGTTTGCAGTTTGTTACCTCTTATATCTGTCGAGCCGCGATGTCCCGTGGTCCAACGCACTGGCTTCGTATAGATATCCTTGGGCAAGCTATCTCATTTCCGTCATTTCAATAGAAGGAACAGCGTCGCCTAATGGGAATAACTGCACTACCCCCCTGTTATTTCCTGCTTCAAAGAGCAGATGTCCGCCTGCATAACTATTTCCCCTCGCTGCTCTCCATTTCTTGCAATCCGAAGTTGTGGCTTTGTTCTGATTTGCTTCGGATGTTCTTTCCATGATCATAGCTCCTTGCAACCCTGTGACTGGGCCTAGTGCTGGTAGGCAGGGGAGGACTATGCATTACTAAAATCGCGGCCAGACATGGATTTCTAGTTTCTACAATGACGCAAAGTGCGAGTTGGAGATTTCTTGTATGAAATGTCTCCGGACCAGCGAAGTTCTGTGACTCCTCCTGCCCCACGACTTCGTCACAACATCCTCAAAAGAATCTCGTTTCCGATGGGCATGGTGTAAGGAAAATGTCCGCAATCAAGAACCTTTTAGTCGGGAAGAATTTTACGCGAGAAAATTATTTGAGAGATAGTCTCCGTGGCATGTTTCATCATCCATGTCCACTGGAACTTTGGTCGCTCCAAGTTCCTTTAGCAATACCAAGACCATCATCCTGTAGCGCGCACGGCTCAGAGATAGCAGGTGAAGTGTATCCCAAGTGCTGGTATAAACTCATAACGCAATTTCCCTGTCTATCTCGATATGTCTCCAGCTCCAGCCAATTTAGGTTTTGTTCATTGGTCGCCCATTCAGTATTTCGACTTAAGAACATCTCCCAGCAGAGAGGTCCTACTGTCGGACCCCAACTGGTCCGTTTTGATATGCGGCCGACCTTTCATCGCCTTCTTTGGTTTGCTGGCTTAGATTTCGGTGTATCAGACGGTTGGTTAGTCCATCAGTTTGGAGAGGTTCTGTGTGGCACTGACTGATATTGTGTTTCAAATGCATGAAACATGAAGTGGATTATCGAGTAGTACGTTTGGTTATGGGTTCTTCTTCAGCGCTTCATCGGCAGTTGGAGTTCCTCAGCCATGAGAATGCTTCTAGCCAGTTGGAAACTCGATACATCTCTTCCTTCAGGCCACGTCCAGCTATTTCTTATGCAGAAGCAAAGTATCAATAGCGGAGTCGAACAAATGGCTCATATATACTTTTGCTGTTCTTTCTTTCCCTTTCGTTTTTGGCCATGACGAATACCATTGCCGTTGGAGGATATGGAGATTAATTGGTAAGAGTCAGGGACTTGGTAGTCGAAGTTAGTGAGTGTTGGGCAAGAACAGGGAAGGGAGAGGGGGACTTTGTTCTGGTTCTCATGTTCTGGAGAATCAGAACTAAATTGCAAACAATAATATATGGCATCTTCACCGCGTTGTTCGTCCCGTTATTAAGTGGGCAAGTGATACGACGACATAAATTTTGCATAAACTTAGGTGCGCTTTATGAGGATCGTACGCGCGTTTTAATACAATTACTACCGTTCTTGAGTGACGACATTGACATTTTCCTATAATTCTGGTTGCTCTGGGCTTCCCATGCGTTGCGAATTGATTTTTTGGACAGAATATAGACAAGAAAAAATGGGTATTTAAAATTGAAGGTGATTGATCAACCAAGATCTTCAATTTCCAGGGAGACGAAAAAACATAAAATGGCTTTTTAAATACTGCAATTGACTCGGTATAGCTAAGGGCTTGTTTAGAAACGTTTTTATTTATCTGTTTTTCTGTTCTTTTGTTCCGAATAGAAAAAAGAACAGAAATTCATTTAGGCAGCAGCATGACAACCATTCTGTCCTGCGAATGCAGTCTAGTCGAAATGATTCCTTTTTATTCTGTGCCCGGGAACAATTTCTAAGCATTTGAAGGCGTTTGGTAACTGCCCAAAATTTCTATTCTTAGAATAGAAAAAGAACAGAAATGCGTTTGGTAACTACACAAAATTTATTTTTATTAATAATATTTTAAATATTTTAATATTTCTTTCTCTTTTTTTTTTTTCCTTTTTTCCTTGGCCATTGCCGACGAGGGCGTCGCGGCCATTGTCGGCGAGGGTGTCGCGGCCCTCGCCAGATCACGGCGAGGTCGAGCCTCGCTCGGCCAAGGCGAGGCCGACCTTGCCGTCGCCACCCCCGGCGACGGCGAGGTCGGCCTCGCCAGGTCACGACGAGGTCGAGCCTCGCCCGGCCAAGGTGAGGCCGACCTCGCCGTCGCCACCCCACGCGACGGTGAGGTTGAGCCTCGCTCGGCCAAGGCGAGGCCGACCTCGCTGTCGCCACCCCTCGTGACGCGAGGTTGACCTCGCCATGGCCGAGCGAGGCCAACCTCGCCGTCGCCACCCCCCGCAACAGCGAGGTCGGCCTCGCCTTGGCTGGGCGAGGCTCAATCTCGCCCAAATCTGGCGTGGCCGACCTTGCCGTCGTCGAGGGTGGCGACGGTGAGGTCGGCCTCGCCAGATTTGGGCAAGGCCGACCTCGCCGTCGCCGGGGGAGGCGAGGGCCACCCTCGCCGGGGGAGGCGAGGGCCAGTGGACGGTCGCCGGCGGTGGGCCAGGAAGAAGATGAAGAACAAATAAAAAAGAAAGAAGAAAACCAAAACGAATCAGTTCCGGAAAAATTGTTGCAGAATCAAGAAATTACTTTTTTTTTGCTTCTTGATTCTATTTTAAAACTGATTCTGGGATCAATTTTTGGCAAAATTGTGCCCGGGAACAAAAATTTTAACAAACGGATTTTTGTTCCCAAACTGATTTTAGGAACAAAAGAACAGAAATTTTCACTATTTGGCGCGTTGCCAAACGGGCCCTTAGTAACGTCAGTTAGCTTTTTGTTTCCCAGAACAGAAAAGTGGTTAGGGAATAAATTTGGAATAGAAATAAGAAGTAAAAAAAATATACTTTTCTGTTTCTAGAATAAAAAAAAGAAACAATAGAGAAACAAGATCAGCTCTCATTCTTTCACAATATATTCTCATACTAAACCCTAAAACCCCAATTCCTAAACCCTAAAATCCTAAACCTTAACTCTCAAACCCTAAACCCCAAAATCCTAAACCTTAACCCTCAAACCCAAAACCCCAACACCTTAAACCTCAATACCCAAATCCTAAAACCTATAATGCTAAAATGAAAAATCCAAAACCCAAAACTCTAAATTCTAAACCCCAAATTCTAAACCCAAATCCCAAACCCCAAAATCCCAAACCCAAAACCCGAAACGCTAAACGCTAAACCCCAAAACTCCAAACTCGAAACCCTAAAACCTAAACTCTAAAATTGTAATTTCAAACCCTAAATCCTAAAACGTTAAACTGCAAAACCCCGAATCCTAAACCCTAATTCCTATACCCTAAATCCCAAACCCTAGTACCCAAAACCCGAATCCCTAAATCCTAAACCACAAAATCTGAAACCCGAAATGCTAAACCTAAAACCCTAAACCCCAAACCCGAAACTCTAAAACCTAAATCCCAAACCCTAAACCATAAAATCCAAATCTAAAACCCAAAACCAAAACCTCAGAACCAACATCCTAAAATCCTACACCCTAAACTGCAATTTCCTTGATCACTACCTGATGTTTAATTTGTCTGTAAAGAGAAATTTTCTTTATGATTGTATTAAAGTCATCCAATTCTATATCATAATATATTATTATTTTATTTCTAGTCCAATTTTATTCAAACATGAATTGTTAAGTACGCTAAACT